GGATATATATTTAAGTACCTTTAAATTCTGCCATCTGATTTTTATATTATCATTTACATTTAACATTTTGTTGTTAATATTTCGTACCTTTCATGATCTTCGACATTAAAAATTAAGTAAAAATAGGAGCTTAATAAAAAGAACGATGTACTTACTTACTCTTTCGCGGAATGCAGTCTTCATGCGATTTTCTTCTTTTAAAAACGCTATATGAAAATTAATCTCCGCTTGATCTGCCGTTATTATTTCAAGTTCTGCCATTGTTATTTTCTTTGTGCTTCAATACTTTCAACTAGTTTCTCTTAACGCTCAAAAATTGTATAACTACGTTCAAATCGTATCGTATGGTATCTGTATGTGTGTGTACGACGTGAAGTGCGAAGCGGTTACTCAACAAGCGGGGAAATATCTAAACGTATTAAACCGATTTTAATCTTAATTAACAAGGAATGGAAATGGATATCTTCTTTTTACTAGCCATCAGTTATTTACAATTAGTTGACAATTGACTTGAAACTATAAATTTCTACAGGAAAATGTTGTACACTCAATTATAATTAGACTGCGGGTCTTATGCCTTAAAAAAATATTATTTCAGATAAATTATCGCAAAAAAATTAAAAAAATGAAGGAATTTATAACGTATACAATGTATGTATAACTTAAATTTACTAAAATTAATATCCTTATATTTTTATACCCTTTTTATTTTGCTAATAAAAATTTACATAATAACAATCGCTACAGTAAATATTTAAACAATAATTCTATGTATTAAGTATATTCTACTTTCATAGCCTGCATTTCGTTTTTCTTTTATCTTTTAATACAAATGATGTATATATATGTATATTACACGATGCAATTCGCAATTCTTTGCACTCTACTATATTTAACTCTCTTCATAAACTGGAATCTTACACTTTCTTCATGTAAATATATCCTTCAAATTTTCACGTTTATTGACATCAAATTTTAAGAATTTAGGATAATTGTTGGTATACAAATATAATTATAATACGTTAACAAAACACAACGAGGACTAAATGACAATATAACATTCCTTGTATAAATTATGAATGTAAATTAAGCGATAATTCATAAACTTTAAGAAACACATATTCCATATCATATCATGATACTCTGTTAAGAATTTCATGAATTTTGTTATTTAATAATGCTTCTCTACAATAATTTTATTCCTCCAATTTTACCTCCTTTGCTGCGTTAGATCATAATTTATTTTTTTTAGATACGAGATTATGTCAGTGTAATAAATATGAATACACAATTCTGTATATGTACACAAATTTTCTCTCTCACATCCATACACATGCATATGCATATAAATATTACCGACTATTTACCGAATTTATTTTAAACAATTTGTAACATAATTATATATCTATGTGTATATAACATGTTTCTACGTTCCTATTTCAACTTAAATTTTAACAAAACAAACAAACAAGGGTAAACAGGAAATATAGAAAATTAAAATAACGTAAATAAATAAATATCAACTAATTGTATTATCACATTTATGTAAACCCTGTTTTGCACGTAGAATTACAATAATTAAAGTTCTTTTTCCCTGATTTATTTAAAATAATAATTGTAAATACAAAACAGAATATTATTACTGTTTTTAAATGTTAATGGAAAGAATAGCAAAAATTTCGTCGTACATTACGTTTGCATTGCACAATATGTATAAACATACATATATTATGACTAGTATAATACATCCTTTTTGACGTAATTATTGTACAATGGCATCAATTCTAATTTCAAAACTAGCAATAAGATCATTTTAACATTATAAAACGCATGATGATATGTAATAAATTAGTAGGTCCATCAATGTTTTATAAACTTACAAAAGTGCATGAAAATTATTGAAAGACGTTTAAAAACGACTGACAATTTTATAATACAAAGATGTTAGCAGAGTAAAATCAAAATATTTTAAGTTTTTAATAACCATCTAAAACTATTTTTAAAACATCCTATAAAATAAATAAAAAAAGACAAATATATAAGAGAATATCGATCTTTATATATACTCATTTCCTTTTTTGCAAAAAAATTCAACATGCTAATAAGCGTTAACGGATTAAAGCAACTAACGAAAATTAGATTTGCACGTTTCAATTCATTCGTTATGTCTACGTATCGTTAAGATTTATAAAGCTACGGGCTGCTCATTATTAAAACTGTATTTATACTATTAATGATATAATACTGAAAATTATTCGAAACAATGAGTATCGTATTACTTGATCAAAATTCGACGAAACACAATTNATGTATGTATAACTTAAATTTACTAAAATTAATATCCTTATATTTTTATACCCTTTTTATTTTGCTAATAAAAATTTACATAATAACAATCGCTACAGTAAATATTTAAACAATAATTCTATGTATTAAGTATATTCTACTTTCATAGCCTGCATTTCGTTTTTCTTTTATCTTTTAATACAAATGATGTATATATATGTATATTACACGATGCAATTCGCAATTCTTTGCACTCTACTATATTTAACTCTCTTCATAAACTGGAATCTTACACTTTCTTCATGTAAATATATCCTTCAAATTTTCACGTTTATTGACATCAAATTTTAAGAATTTAGGATAATTGTTGGTATACAAATATAATTATAATACGTTAACAAAACACAACGAGGACTAAATGACAATATAACATTCCTTGTATAAATTATGAATGTAAATTAAGCGATAATTCATAAACTTTAAGAAACACATATTCCATATCATATCATGATACTCTGTTAAGAATTTCATGAATTTTGTTATTTAATAATGCTTCTCTACAATAATTTTATTCCTCCAATTTTACCTCCTTTGCTGCGTTAGATCATAATTTATTTTTTTTAGATACGAGATTATGTCAGTGTAATAAATATGAATACACAATTCTGTATATGTACACAAATTTTCTCTCTCACATCCATACACATGCATATGCATATAAATATTACCGACTATTTACCGAATTTATTTTAAACAATTTGTAACATAATTATATATCTATGTGTATATAACATGTTTCTACGTTCCTATTTCAACTTAAATTTTAACAAAACAAACAAACAAGGGTAAACAGGAAATATAGAAAATTAAAATAACGTAAATAAATAAATATCAACTAATTGTATTATCACATTTATGTAAACCCTGTTTTGCACGTAGAATTACAATAATTAAAGTTCTTTTTCCCTGATTTATTTAAAATAATAATTGTAAATACAAAACAGAATATTATTACTGTTTTTAAATGTTAATGGAAAGAATAGCAAAAATTTCGTCGTACATTACGTTTGCATTGCACAATATGTATAAACATACATATATTATGACTAGTATAATACATCCTTTTTGAC